CTCTGGTGTGGGAGGGAAATATAGGAAATGTCATTTCTTCTCAGTCAGGGGCCACATCTGTGAGGGTTTTTTCGCTTCATATTTGTGTTCGGCCCCTGACTGATTTTTCTGTGGGTCAGTGGCCCCCACCCTAAAAAAGGTCCCCCACCCTTGTGATAAGGCATCGGGAACATGTCAAGGGAGGTGTGAGTGGTGTGTGCTTTTATTTTAAGCTCTCCAGTTGTCAGCTTCCAGTGGCTGTAGCTCATGCAGAAGGGCCGTGCGCACTGGGAGACGGGATAAAGGGAACGACGGGAGCCCCTCTGCTTGGGCTCAGGCTGTTCTCCCCTCACTCAGTCCCTCACTGGAAGGGTGCAGCGAGGCTCCAGCAGGCAGCATTGAGCTGGCAGCAGCTGTGTGTAAGGATGAGAGCGGGGCCCTTAGACTGCTGTGATACTACTTTTCACACTGCTGCCCTTACTTCTGTGCTGCAGCTGACATGGCACTGCCTTCAGATCTGGGTGCCAGGCTGCTACCTATTTACATGAGAGAGAGCAAGGCACAAGAAATGTGCCTTTCAAATAAAGTGGAAGGTGGCAGGGATGGTCATGTTCTGTAGTTCTTGTGGCAGCTCACCCTGGCTCCTGACAAAGGTCTGTCTCCTGTACAGACAAGCTTTACCCTCACTCCAAAGAGTCCCATCCTGGCAGAAGAGCTAAGTATTTCCCATGGTCTTCATCCTGTGGCTTTCATCAGTCTTTTAGGTCCCTCACTCCAGACCATAGAAAGCCTGGAAGAGAAGAACTAAGACCTTGAACTTGATTTGATATTCTGTGGGAGCCAGCACAGGGTGCAGAGGACAGAGCTGGTGTGGATAAGGGAACCCCACATCTCAGGGTACGTCTACATAGCAACATTATTCCGAAATAACTTAGCCTGCATCTACACTGCAGGAAGTTATTTCGAAATAATGTCGAAATACTGTCAACCTGGAGGATTTCTTACTCCGACTCCTGGAGCCCTCATTGTACGAGGAGTAAGGGAAGTCAGAGGAAGAGTGTTCTATTTCGAAACAAGTGCTGTGTAGATGCTCCCAATTTCGAAATAAGCTATTTCGAAATACGCTACACAATTGACGTAGCTCAATTTGCATAGCTTATTTCAAGTTAAGCCCTGCTCTGTAGACTCAGCCTCAGTAGCTGAACATCAGTTTATTGACCAGGTGCTGTGTTTCATAGAACACAAGTTAGTTCGTATATCCCAAGAATGCAAATCAGACACCATGACATGGTAATTCAATTATACTTTATAGGAGATTAATTTATTTAAATATATGTACAGAGCTTGATATGCTAGAACTAATCAATAGAGCCATTAATTATATGATAAATTACCCAGTAAATATGAATTAGGGATCGTTTTAAAAAAGATTTACTGAGCGTAAAAACACATTTAAATTGCATGATAAACTAAAAATAATAAGGAAAAAAAAGCCAAGTAACAATTCTTTTCAGGAAGCTTAGTAGAAATAGGACAGCCTGAGGTCCACAGACACTGTAAGTGATCACAAATCACACATGATGGCTTTTGTAAAAGACACAGTTGGGAAATATGCAGAGGGAAGTGTAAATGGGTTCAAATGGAAGCCCTGACTCTGGACACCAGATTCTGGCCTACATCTGGGTCTCTCAGAACTGAAGATATTCCAACACGAAGGGGCGATGGCAAGCAATAGTTGGAATGTGAAACTTTTATTTTTTGTACTATAGCAACACTTAGGGCTCCAGCTGAGATTTGGGGACACACGCAGGAGCTCCAGAGAGTGCTATAGGTCTGGAACCTAAAGCAGTATGCAATTGATCCGATTGTTCTTTGTAGCCTGGACTTGTGCTACTTCTTTTGGGGCAGTTTTCCACGATGTTAACACCCCTGCAGCTTTGCCAGTGGTAGCAATAGTGAGAGTGCTAGTGCAGAGTGGGCTCATGTGGCTGTCATCACCGTATCATCTGGACCTTCTCTGAACAGGGTGAGACCGGCAATATAGTAGTTAAAATGCTGGTGCCCGATATATGCTAGCTCTCCCACCGCTGCTGTGTCACTGGTAGACCTGCACTGTTGGGAGGCTTCCTGAAAAAGTCTTGTGTAGACACAATCTGGGATGGATTAGTCCATTATGTATGTAAGAGCACGATGTCCCCATTTCTATTTTCACTTAATTAAGCAAATTAGTTATAAAGAGGTCTATTTCAGATTGTCGTCTTCATTGTAAAAAGTTGTCTGCAAAATTTGTCATCATTGAAAGCATTCTAATAGCCACCCATCTGAAATCCAGTCCTAGGTGATGATGAAGCTGCAGAACTCATCTACTGTAGTCTGGTGTCATGGCTCTCATATATCTTGAAGCTGACAGTCTCTTGTTCTGCTTAATTTCAGTATCTATAGTGAGGCCTGCGGTCACCTCTTAATGACATTTCATACTAGAAAAAGCAATAGGAACAAGTTGATGAGACAGAAAATACAATTCATGTATTTTACAGCAGTAGCTCTTCCTCTGCCTAATTTTAGCTTTAAGGGAAAACAGAGAGTTTTGGGCAATTGTTTTTCGATTGTTCTCATCGGTGAAAAGTTACTATTCTTGATAAACTAGTAAAGTTTGACAAAAGTCACTATTTGGATGAATCACATCAAGTGATTGTTACCTAAAGTAATTAGATCCTTTTTATCAACAATTTTTGTGCTTTACACAATATAAAACTTACCGGGTTTCTCAAATTCAGGGAGTAGGCCCCCATTCACCACAAGCTGATGCTTAAAATTAAAGCCCTTGTGCAAATTCTTTACTAACTAGGGACAGTTTGCTGCATCAGGCCTTATCGAGGTGGATCTAAAATAGATTTTTAAAAGGTGTGGAATATTCGAGATTAGATTCCGTACTCTATATCCAGATAAAACTCCCAGTTGTTTCACATGAGTGTTTTTCCTAGGCCAGGATTGCAAAATTAGGACTAAAACATTTTTAAAAGAGAGGGCTTTTTTCCCTAAAAGGTAGGTTTGTGTGTGTGAAAGACAGAGAGAAAGAGAATGGAAATGCTGAAAGATTTCAAAGTTCCAACTGAAATGAAAACAGATTAAAAAAATCTAAAATCTGGGAAAATTAACATTCAATAAAAGTAATTTTGAGGGGCAGTGGAAATGACACACAAAGGACAGAGACTGAAATTATACATCAGTCTATACTATCAGATTTATTTGGGCATAAACTTTTGAGAGTAAAACCCAAATAAGCTGTTAGGGTATGTCTACATTAGGGAGTTATTTTGCAATAACAAGGTGATTGTCCACACTACCAACCTCATTATTTCAAAATAAAGGGCTTGTTATTTCAAAATAACAACTCCTGCTTGTGAAGAGGAATAGTGCTATTTCGAAATTGTTATGTTGGGAGTTATCATTTCAAAATAACTTCTTTCGAAATAACTCCCTACGGTAGACATGCCCTTTGTTTTTAAGATGCCACAGGTCTCCCTGTTGTTTATGCAGATACAGACTAACATGGTGTCACATAAAAGTCATTTGTGGGTCCTACAGGTTAGCAGGCCTAAGCAGGCCTAAGATGAAAGTTTCCATCCCTGCTGTACTTAGTTTAGCATAGCCTGGGACCCTGCAAGCCCACACAGCAGCTGGGCTTTCTCAGCTTTAAGCCATGCTTTGATCTAGGATACTACTGAGCAGTGAACAAGTTTGACCTTGGTCTCCGCTCATGAAAGTGATAAGAATGGCATTGAGCCAGGTACATGCACACCCAGTAAACTACTGTAGTATAAGATTTTTGGGAGTCCCGCCCCTCTGAGTGTCTCACTGGGGACTTCTAGCCTCAGAGGCACCCCAGATTCCCCTAGCTGGAGCCACGTCTGCCACGGCCCTGGTGTGAGGCCTTCCGGGATCAGGACTCCCCGTGGCAGAAGAGGCGTAAGCATTTCCAAGTGCCTGTTACTCTTTTACGCATTGCTCTGCCTATGCTTATTGGTGTGTTACTTTGCAGTAGCTGTGTAACTATCTGGAAGTATTAAGCCTGTAATGGTGTGATGCAGTGAGATTAATAAAAGCAACTATCCCTAATTGACTCTGGCTTGAAGCGAATCTACAACCCTGTTGGGCCCTGCCCCTGTGAGTTGACACATGGCTACCTCTCTAAGATTATGTTTTAATAGGCATGTAAAATCCGATGTAAACATTAGGCTTAACCAGTTAACCGGTTAACATACTGTGGTGTGGTGTGACGGGCCTGGCCAGGTTGGAGCACTCCAGCCCATGGTGCATTGGCTACACTGGGTTGGAGCATCCCCTAGCTCACAGGGCGTAAGCGGGGAGGGGGCTGCTCTAGCCTGGTTGGACCTACTGCTCTGCGGGCTGCTCCGACCAGGCTGAGCCTGTTGCAGGCCAGGGCTGCTTGAGCCAGGCTGGGCCTGCTGCATTGTGCTGCAGTCAGGAGGTGGCTCGAGTTGGGCCAAGCCACCAGTTAACTGGTAACTCATAAGCATCACCCGGTAAGGGTGATGCTTACTGGTTATCCAGTTAACCACTGACATCCCTAATTTTTAATGTATTTTATTGTATTAAAACTGCAGCACCAAGTGCCACGCTCCACAGCAGTTCTACTGCTGAGTACAAAGAGCCAAAATGCTTCTGAATAAAATCCAAGCAATACAGATTCCCAGTGTGTCAGAAAACACCCTCTCTAGCATGACGCATCTGCGCCTGTTGGGTTCCACCTGTGTAGTGTGTTAAAACAATGAGAGAGATTCTCTGCTATGCCCCTTACACTCCCTTTATACTCTCCCAATCTGGGCTGCTTTGGGGCTGGAGAAGTGACACCCCCCCCCCCCCCCGGGACACTAAACCTCCAAGTTTCAGCAGCCTCCCTGGGCAGCCACACTGCATGCTGTGGCCTCATGCCGGACACCCCTTCTCAACACCACAGCCCTGCCCACAGTACAAAGTCACGAGGGCTTTTGAGAGGGTCCTCAGAAGTCAGCCCACAATGGCCTTCTTTAGCTCCTGGAACAGGGGTATGTATGTTCCCAGGGCTTGATCAAGGACTTTCAGATCCACCACTGCACCCCTTTTACCCAGTATAAAAGGGGCTGGAATGGAGGGGAGG